GGCTGGCTGAAATAGTAGGGCACTGGAGTTGATCATCCAGTTGATCCCTTCTGATCCTACATCCCATGACTCGCTTGCTCTGTGTAGCAATGAAGCCCCTCCAGTCCGGTGTCTGGATATTGCACAGTGATTAAGAGCAAATGCGTTTAAAACAGAAAAGGGGCAGATAATGCTGGCTAGCACCAGGGGCTTTGCAGGGTTTACGCGCGCACCAGAGGGGGGCGCTATGCCACGTGCTGCAGTACAAAGGACAGATTGGAGCTGGCTTCAGGAGGGGGAAGGGGGGGGGAGTGAGGAAGCTTCAGGCAGAGATTAAAAAGCGAGAGTGGGTTTTAACCAGTGCTGCTGAGATTAAGGTGGATTAGGGAGAGTTGGGCTGCAAGGGGCTGGGAAGCATTTCTGTCTTCCCCTCCCCCCACGCCGTTCGAGGGGGGGTGGGCAGCGGCAGTTTCCACTGCAGATGTCCAGCCCGTCAGGCAAGCGGCCAGTGAGTGTCCTGCAGTTAGGGTCAAATCAGGAGAGGTGCTGAGCATGCTGGATAAGGCTCCCCGCTGGGCAGAGGGCCAGCCTGAGGCCTAGGCTGGCCCTCTGCATGGCGGGGGTGGAATGTCACCCCAAATGATGCTGCCAGGGGCCTCAGCAGAGGCTTGAACCTTTTCAGAGCCTGCCCGTGGAGCCCCGTTTAGCCAAAGACCGAAGCTTTCTGGGTACGGATGCTGGGCTCCCGCAGTCGGGGGGGGTGAGGTTGTAAATCAGGAGATGTGGGTTCTCATCCTGCCCCTGCCATTAGCTTGCTGAGTGAGTGGGGAGGGGGGGAGAGAAGCCATTTGCTCTCTTGCTGTGCCTCAGTTTCCCCATGTGGAAAATGGCCCTGTGCCCTGTCTTTGTACGGTGCTGTGAGAGCTGAGTGGTGGGCAGTATTAAGAACAGGCACCTCGGGTAGCAGAGAGCTGCTGTGGTGTTTTGTACAAATGGAGAGACTGGACCTGAATGTGGGCTCATTGACACCAGGGTGGAAATCCAGTGAAGCCAAGAGCCTTCGCTGGTGTGACTGAGGTCAGACTCTGCCCCCTCTGGCCCAGTTCAGGTCTGCTGGCTTCCAGTTGCCTTCAATGAGCTTTAACTGCCAGAGCCTTGGAAGTCTGAGCCCGTCCCTCATTTGGTGTAAATCTACTGCCCACGGTGCCAATTTATATCTGCTAAGGATCTGGCCCCAGGCCCCCCAGGGCTCGCTAGTGACATTCAGTTTCACACACAGGGTTAGCGTTGGCCACAAAGGAAAAAATGTGGGGTTTTTTTTGGTAAAGTTAAAAGGATTTTCCCATTTGATCCTGAGGCTAGTTGCAGGACTCAACCCAGACAGGATGAAACATTAAAATAACTTTTTCTGCCCTGTTCTTGCATTGCCCTTCCATCTGGGCCCCGAAAAGCTAAAATCCCACTGCAGAATTTATTCACTGCGGTTGGAGCAAGGAGCTCCAGAAATCAGGTGTGAATACGAGATGGGCCGATGCTTCCCTTGGCATCTCTGGTCCCTGTTTGCAGTCTCAGGGGATACAGAGAAGGAGCCCAGGGTCTCTGATGCTTTCCCGAACAGAACCCAAATTTGCAAACTTTTCACTCATCCAGTCAGGGAGCACACACAGTTACCGTGTGACCCAGCTGACCAAACTCCTGAGTCTTTGCGCGTTGCCTGTCTCTTACTCTTTTGAAATGGCCTTTCTGTCGACAAAGCTCCTGTGAAATGCAAACTCCGCACCCCTCTTGGGTCCCTGCTGAGCTGTCTGCTTCCATTGGCCTTGGCCTGCGGGCCCTTCAGCACATTGTATTTCTTGTCAGGAGAGACTGAGCCAAACCAGCACCCCAAACTCAGCATTTCAGGGGGCTCACGTTCAAATCCCCATCTCTCTTCGGAGCTGGACCGAACACGGCCCATCCTCAGCTCAGATGGGGCCAAAGTCTTACGAGTCGCTGAGATTTCCACTTGGTGGGGCTGTCGTGATCACAGGCTGACCTGCGCTTTAGAGTTGTTTGGTCTCTCTCAAGGGCACCCCGTGGGTGGCAGACCTGACTTCCTTCACCTCTCTCAAAGATGGAACTGCGCGGGTCAAGCACTCTGAATCTCTGGGCAGCAGCCTTTCCTATTTCTCACCCATACAAACACGACGGGCCCAACTGGGTTCAGCCCCTGCAAACCTCATCCTCCAGGCTTTGCAGTGACACAGATACCGCATAGTCTCAGCAAAGCAGGCAGAGCGCAGGTCGAAAGCTAAACAGGCCTATTTGCTTATCGCCACTTAATCTTCCCTTGCAAGCTCCCTTCTGCCCAATTACGCCCATCTCGCCACTGAAGCCTCTGTGTCTTTCTGTGCGTCTCTCAGGCAACCTCTGTGCTCCAGCTGGGAGGTTGCTTCCCAGCCCGGGTAGAGACTAAAAATAGCTGCGTGGCCATGGTGGCTCAGGCCGGCTGCCCGAGGACGTACCCGGGGGCTCAGGCCCGGTTGGACTGGGGCGGCTGGCCCATGCTCCTGCAGCCACATGGCCAGTTTTAGCATGCTCGAGCAGAGCTAGCAGCTCCGTCCACCTGCCCTGGGAAACATGCTCCCAGCTGCGATGTAGACACCCCCTCTGAGGTTTTCAAAGCCCCTTTGATCCTCGGTTTGGCCTGGAAAGGATAAACTCTGCCTGTCCAGTGGGCACCAGGTTGGGGCCATTTCCCACTTAATACCTTCCCCGGTGTTTCCCCTTGATATTGCCTATGGTAGCCCCTTCTCGCTGTTTCGATTCCTGTCCATTTCCTCCCTTTGATTTGACTCTCTGCAGCCAGGCAGGATAACATCACGCTGGCAAACTGAAGTGCCCGTGAGATTTATAAGAAATACACATGACGCCTGCCTTCTCTTCTGGGGCCCAGGTTCTCCAGGGGGTTCTGAACTGGGATGTGGATCCAAACCCTGGGTTAGCCTCAAAAAACCCAAACTCAGCCCCCCGCCTCACCCTCCTCTCAGTCCAGGTGGGGAAGTAACTGCCCTGGACCAACTCTAGTGGTGGCTATTGTTATTTATTTCTCCACGATGCTCCAGGCTGTCCATGGCTGCCCACAGACATAGAGAAGGATAAGGCCCCCGCCATAAAGAGCCGACAGCCTAAGGACTTGGTCCCTGAAGGGCTTTCAGCTCCCACTAAAATCAATGGGTACTGAGAGTACTCAGAAAAGATGCCCAGCACCTTTCAGGATCAGTTCTTAAATTAGGGCCCGATCCTGCAGCCCTTACTCAAATGAGCAGCTAAATTGTGGGACAGGACATTGCAGAATTTGGCCTGGAGAACAGAAAGGACTCACAGCTAGTCGATGCAGCACAGGGCTGGGAGTGAGGACACCTGGTTTGTTTTCCTACTACTGACCGACTGCATGGCTTTGGGGAAGTCGCTTGGCCTTCCTGTGCCTCAGTTTCCCCCTCTAAACAATAGTTAAAACAGTCATGCCTTTGTACGGTGCTTTGAGACCCTCATATGCATGGCCCGATAGAAGGGCTCAGCGAAATAGCTGTACGGCTTGGATGTTCTTCAAAGGAAGCTGACTTCTATCGCTGCAGCCAGGGTGTTCCGGCTTGTTTATTGGAATCAAGCCTTTGATGTCAGCATGAAACGGTGCTGCACAGAATTTCGACGGGAACCTTGTTTGGAAAGCAGCAGACTGCACCCGCCCTAGTGTCTAATGGTGCATGAGGTTGGCTCCTCTGTTTACAACGTTTGCTCTTGAGATTCTACCCAGTTCATGTTGTTGTTCATTATAATTAAGGCTTCGGTGAAGCCAGTGTGAATCTGCTGTTATCCAGGAATCCTGCCCTGGGAGTCTTTTTGTTTCAAGACACAAAACAGGGATCGGTTCCTTAGGCGAATTTTTGGAAGTGGATTAAAATAGAGATCTGTTTTTAGGGCTTTCTTCTAGCACAGAGCACAGGGAACTGCGTCCAGGGCTCTCCTAAGACGCAACAGACGAGATCTCTTCTGACACAGTAACAAGGGAAACGCCTCCAGGGATCTCCTTTGTCGCAGCCCAGAGATCTGTTTGTGGGAATCTCCTGTGACAAAGCACGGGGATCTATTTGCAGGGGTGAGTTAGAGCAGCATGCATGCAGCCACTCAAAGCACAGGGATCTGTTTGCAGGGATCTCCTGTGATGCCAAGCTCTTTCAGAGGAAAGATTAGGGCAATGGGCTAGTACTTGGGAGACCCATATTCATCTCCCTGTTGTGCCATAGACTTCCTGCGGGACTTTTTCACTAGGAGGGTGGTGAAACACTGGAATGTGTTACCTAGGGAGGCGGTGGAATCTCCTTCCCTAGAAGTTTTTAAGGTCAGGCTTGACAAAGCCCTGGCTGGGATGATTTAGTCGGGGATCAGTCCTGCTTTGAGCAGGGGGTTGGACTAGTTGACCTCCTGAGGTCCCTTCCAACCCTGATATTCTATGATTCTATGACTCTGTGCCTCAGGTCCCCACCTGTACAATGGGGCTAACAGCACTGCCTTGCTCCACAGGTGTGTTGTGTGGATAAAACAACAATGGGGGGCCAGATAAGCACCTAAAATAGACTTGCTGGGATCTCCTGGACCCCAGAGCCCAGGTCTTTCTCCCTCCAGTGCCTGGAAGTGGAGAACTTCCCCTTTAAGTTTTTCCATGGATGCTAGGAAGCGGCTAGTTCCAGTCCCGTTTTTAAAGGGATTTTTATTTTAGGCTAATTGGCTTCCTTAAAAAAGAGAGAGTGAGAGGGAAGGGAGATGCTATGGGTTCTGTTTCCATGGAAACTAGCAGCCGTAGGCTGGCCGTGTTGCATGTCACAGAGAGGGAATAATGGCCCAAAAGGTAAACTTGGCATAGGGATGGTTCCTTTGTCGGGGATGTTTGAACAAAGACAAAAGCAGCTGCCAGGATCTCTGTCCCTATTTGCATCTTGTACGTGGCACGGCAAGAGGAACCAGATGGGAATAACTGTAGATCTGCAGCCAGCATCAGCAACGCTTTGAACTGCCACAGCTGACTCTGGATCTGCCCGTCACCTACCCTGGGCTGTCCAGTGACTCCCGCCTCCGCTGCACATTGACTAACAGTCATCCATCAGACCTCCATAAGAAGATGTTTGAAGACAGGGTAAGTAAAAATAAGATCCTGCCCCGGGTTTGGCAGGCTGAGATCAGGAGCAAATGTCGACACGCAGCGGGCTAACTGTCCCAAATGACGCACCAGTGTTGCACAGCCGAGACTGGCATCTGGGCACCAGCGGGGCACAAAGTCACTCTTTAACACTTCCCGTAGGCGGCGCTGAAGAGCACTGAGAATGGCAATAAAGGGGCAGGTCAGGCGTCGGGTGGTTGTGACCCTCTCTTTGAGCATGCGAGCAGCTCCCAGGCTTACTTCTAAGGCATCTCTGCCCATGAACCTGATTCTAACACCCTGGACCAACTTCCAAGCTCCTTTACCCAGATGCTGCATGGTCCTTACTACTCAGGCAAACCTCCCACTGCCAGTCACTGAGCGTTTTGCCTGGGTACAGCCGGCTGAACAATGGGAATGGTGGCTGGTGAATATCTTTGTGATTAGCTGCAGCAAATCAGCTGTGCTGGCAGCTGCAGTGGCTGAAGTGCTGGATTGAGACTCAGATAGAGGTGGCTCTGCCGTTGGCCTGCCGGGTGACCTTGGGTAAGCCGCTTAGCCACTCCATGCCTCGGTTTCCCCTTCAGTAAAAAGGGGACAATGATACCAACCTCCTTTGTAAAGCGCTTTGAGAGCTACTGATGAAGAGTGCTATATAAGTGAGATATTGGGTTTTTTTGTTGTGTGTGAGTATCTGGGCAAATGGTCTATTCATTGCTGATCTGGAAACTTTCACATATTGACAACAAAAATTCTCACCAGAAAGGGTGTCATTCACTCTCTTCCGGTTTGAAAAGTTTCAGTCATCTAGTTAAGGAGCAGAGAGGGTTACCATGTAGCAACTGGTTGCAAACATCCTCTAGGTAAAAGCCTGTTTGTGAGCACTATTTGGTGGATGCAAAATGATACTGGATTTATTCACAGGAATCCTGATCCATCTGAGAATGATTCTTGACCAGAAAAACAGGGCTTAAATCATCCGATAATTTAGTCACAGGGAATAATAAAACCCAGCTGTAGAGCTGAGTAAAGATCTTAGGTATGACATTTGTTTGCATCATCTGGGATGAGCAGATACTGAGCATATCTCACGAAAGCTCATGCTCAAATAAATTGGTTAGTCTCTAAGGTGCCACAAGTACTCCTTTTCTTTTTGCGAATACAGACTAACACGGCTGTTACTCTGAAACCTGAGCATATCTACTTATCAGATCAGCACCTGGACCTGAAATTGCTACGGACCACCTGGCTTTTCTGTCTGATTGTTCCTTATCTTTCATCCTCTTTATGTTAAAGTTTTCAGCCCCAAGTCACTTAAGCACCGTGCTTCATTTTCAGTCCCACCGAGGTCAACAGGCCCATTCACATACTTAAAATTAAGTACTTGGCTGAATTAAGGCCTTGGATGCTAAGATAGTTCAAAAGTGCCAGCCTGACGAGGAGAAAATAGCTAAGAGAAGGAGAAAAAGACCAAATGCAAGGTTAGAGCTGATTGCAAAATGGGAATGAAAATAGTTTGGGGCATTTGAACTGAAATTTTTTCCCGATGAAATTAGAAATTTCGATGGAAATTTGCAAACTTGAAAAATTTCAATCAGATAGTTGAAAAAATTGGAGGGAATTGTGAAAATGTGCTTGAATTTTTTCCCTCTTTTCTTTTTTCAATCAAAGTTTGGCTCCATTCAACTAGTTCTGTTAAGTTTAAATAAATGAATCATGAGGAAGAACGCTTTCTTCCACTCATAGGAGAGGCTGCCTGTAAGTATCCGCAGCAAGGCCATTTTACTGTCCTCCTTCCAGCCTTCCTCTGCGGTGATACTTATGCCATGGCTGCGATACACTGGGGGCTGAACTGAGGACCTCTAGCCTAAAAGCACGAGTTACTATGGATTAAGCTATAGAGCAGCAATGCTCTACAGTTTGCTGGTGATTAGGCAGTGGGTGTGTTGTGACCATTACTTATCACACTGGGCATTGTCATTTCCTTGTTTCCTTGTGCTCCCCCTGTGTCTAGTCAACTGTTGCCTGTCTTGCACTCAGATGGGCAGCTTTTCAGACCAGATCTTTGTTGTGTGTCTATACACCACCCTGCACAACAGGGCCCTGCTTTCTAGACCCCCAAGCCAGTGCAAATTATTAATTTCAGATCTTGGTTAGTGCGCAACCAAACTGTCTTAGCCTTATGAGTGTGGCCCTCGATTGAGACTTGAGACGACTGCGTTCTGGTCCCAGATCTGCCATAGGACCTTAGCAAATCATTTCTTCTCTTCCTGCCTCCATTTCCCCCTTGATAAAATGGAGCTAGTAAACACTTTGAGGTTCTTGCTGTAAACTCTTTGAGATCCTTGCTGTTACTGTCAGACCAAGTTGCTTTGCTATTAATGCAAACTGTGTTCAATTTCTTATTATAATCTCTCTCTCCAGAACAGAGGGCTAAAGACTCACTTCCTAGCTGCACTGCACTGACCCGGGACTCCTTTCTTATGGATACACTTCCCCACGCCTGCTCCACCAACAGACACCTACGCAGATCACAAACAGCTGGTACTTGCTGTCAGAGAGGGAGCCTCAGAACGCAATTATAGCTCTCAGTCCAAATAAATACAATAGGGTTGCCAGCTCTGCGTTGCCAGATCCCAGTGAGCTCATATATTTTCATCATGTAACACTGAGAACATAAGGAAGAGGAGGTGTCTTTATCCATCTCATAGCACTTGCAGGCAAAGTAGGAAGGGCTGGATTTTGAAAACCCTGGTGCTTCGGTGCCCAAATGCCATTGTAAATTTGGCGCTAAGTGCTTCTAAAGGCTTTCAGAGATGCATGCATTTGGGATCACAACTGGTCAGGGAGTTTGTTCTTCTACAGTCAGGCCAGATTGGAGCCCCCTGTAAGAGAATACTTGCATGATCTGATATTAAACTGACACAACATGTAATCACTTTGCATCCACAAATGCCACCCTACAAATTGGATTAGGTCTGGAATGGAGGCAGGGATAGCCCCCAGTTCTCTTGATTTTGTAGTCCACATATTACACCACATTTGAGTCCGTTGACTGTCTCTCTAGAGTTCTTCGATTGTAAACTCTCTCTCTCTCTCTCTCTCTCTGGATTTTCTGTCTCATGGGAAACTCCGCAGTTTTGATTTTTTACAAAACCAAACATTTTCCAAAGAGCAAAGATCTTATGCTTTGACTTTTGTTTTCACCGCTCTACAATGAGTGGAATCCTATGTGGTGCTGAGCCTCTCTTGTACTCATCAGATCAGTCCATGGACCTGACCTTGCTACAGACCCCTTGGCTTTTCTATTGGATTGTTCGTTTATCCCCCTGGGGTTAAAGTTTTCAGACCCAGTTCACTTAAGCACATGCTTAATTTTCAGTCCCACGGAAGTCAACAGGCCCATTCAGGGGGGAGGATTCATTGCCTGTCCTTTTATTGAGATAAAATCTAACCATTGCGTTCCAATTTTGAGCTTTTTAAAAACGATTTTATGATAAAAAAAACCCCAATGAATTTCATTTTGAAATTACTTTTTGAGCTGTTCCATTCCAGAAAGGTGGAAACAAGCCATTGGGATGTTATCAAAAGGCTTCCTTTCCTTTTTCTTTACGTGAATTTTGATCAAAAAGCAACGTGTTTTGGGAGACGTTTCGATGTGGGTGAAACCGACAACGACAGCCTGGTTCAAAGCCAAAAAGGCTGAGATGAAGCAACCAAGAGGATCAGCTCCACAGCTAGTGTAAATTGATGTAAATGGAGCTTCGCTGATTAACACCAGCTGAGCATGTGGCCCACAAAACCCTCTCATGCCTGCCTCTGAGGAGTTACAAGTGGATGTGAAAGGAAAATGAACACTCTTGTCTTAAGGGCTGTAATATTTTGGTCTCACAACCAGTAAACACGGGCCCTCAGCAGCTCTTAATGTTCTTTTTGGGCCCAGACGCCATTGTTTGCATGAAGAAGCAAAGGTGCTATTAGGAGCTGTTTACCCAGTGCAAACGAGGGCCCGGAGCGGAGGGGATGGGTGGGTTAATGAGGGAGGTGGTGCCAAACAGCATGCAGTCGGCAGAACAAAAGATTCCCCAGGCTGTTTTTTGAACACTGGTATTTTGTGCCTTTGCCGACTGCTCGGTTCGGCCTGCCAAGTCTTATATTTCCAGTCCCAGGAGGCGCTCGGTGAATTGCACCCACCGCATAAAAGATTTCGGCATTTTTATTGTTAACTGCATCACAGGCGCATGCTCGGCTCTGTACAGACACATTGTGAGAGAGTGGTCGTGCCCTGAAGAGTTCTCAATGGACAATACAGACATAGGGGGCGGGGGGAGAAGGTGGTTTGTTAGCCCCTCTTTTACAGTGCAGAACGGAGCCACAGAGTGATGAAGTGACACGCCCAAGGTCATGCAGCAGGTCAGTGGCAGAGCTGGGAGTTTAGCCCAGGGCTCCCAAGTCCCCAGCTGGTGGACGAACTACAAGCCTGCCATTAATCTATAGCAGCAAATGAGGAAAAAACCCCTCCTCCAGTGCTCACAACTGAAGCCTTACTCCAGCCATAATGGGCCAAACTTTGGTGGATTTGGCCAAATGTAGGATTTGGTCAATTGTGCCTTGTGCATTCTCTGAAGATGCTGCTCCTGAGTTCCCATCACCTCCAACCTGGGAGCTCGGACTCCTCCTGGTCCATCAGCGTCCAAACCTCTCTCCTCATCTCAGGCTCTGAAGGAAGGGGCACCTGTCCTGGTCCCCTCACAGGAAGGGCCCCTGCCTTCATGGAAGGTGCTGCTTCTCATGCCCACAGAGGGAAAGAAGTGAGTATCATGAATCCTGAAGGAATGAGCCATGCGCTCGGCCACCATGCCCATCCCGTGAGGGGGTAAGGATCTGAGTACCATCGCTCCACTGAGAGGAAAGGCGTTCGCCTGATGGCCAGGTACCCTGAAGGGAGTGTCTGCTCCAAAGCCAACCCTGCCTCCCCAAAGTGTCCACCCTGGACA